AGCTCATGTAAAACGGTGATCATTCTCTGTTGCAGTGGGTGAATGGAGAGAAAGTGACAGAGCATGAAGGTGGCCATCTGCCTTTTGAGGCAGAGATTAGTAGTTTAATCCGCAGGGACCCAACGAAGCCATGCAGAATCACCATTGCTGTAAACAACACTCTAACTTTGGAGACTCTTCCTCCAGGCACCATCCAGTACATGAATGACCGTACCAGGTACCCTCATTCTTTGGTTCATATTTTTAACTTTATTGCCACCCTTTAAAGCTTTAAGCTGATGCATCAGTGAGAATGTAGATGATGTGAAGACTGTTTGGTCTGCAGGTATCCTGATGGTTTTTTTGTGCAAAACATCGACTTTGATTTCTTCAACTATGCTGGGATACATCGTCCTGTACTGTTGTATACTACTCCTAAGGTGTATGTGGATGACATCATAGTGGAGACCAACTTCATGGATAACACCGGTAAATTCATTTCAAATTTCCTTACTAGCACCAAAGAATATGTGAGCAGGTAAACTGATGGACAACCCCAATTCTAAAAGTGTTGGAACAATGTGTTAATGAAAACAAAATGCAATGATTTGCAAAACAAAAACAAATTTATTCAGAGACTACAGAAAACTCATTAAATATTTAAACTGAGACATTTGGCCTGTATTTGTATAGCGCTTTACATAGTCCCTAAGGACCCCAAAGCGCTTTACACATTCAGTCGTCCACCCTTCACACACACACATTCACACACTGGTGATGGCAAGCTACATTGTAGCCACAGCCGTCCTGGGGCGCACTGACATTTCACTATTTCATGACAAATATTGGTTCATTTTGAATTTGAGGTTAGAAAATAAGTGGTACTCAAAAGAAACCAATGAATGAATATTACAACTAATTAGTTTAACTGGCAACAAGTGAGTAACATGAAGAGCATCTTAGAAAGGTAGACTTTCTCAGAAGTAAAGCTAGGCCGAAGTTTGCCAGTCTGCAAAAAACTGTATCTACAAATTGTGAAACAATTGCAGAATAATGTTCTTCATTGTAAAATTGTGAAATTATTCTCTCGGCATTTAGCCCATTCACTCAGTGAAGCAGTGGGCAGGCACTAATCAGACCCCCGGGGCGCAGTGTGTAGGGACGGTACCTTGCTCAAGGGTACCTCACGGCATGCTACCTACTTAGCTATCCCTGCCCCTAAAACCTTGCTCTCCCCAGATAGCTCTTCCAGCTGCACCAGGGGAACACCGAGTCATTTCCAGGCAAGATGAGAGATATTTTCTCCAGCATGTGCTGGGTATACTCCGTGGCCTCCTCCCAGTAGGACATGTCTAGTATACCTCCATAGTTTTACAGCATGTTTTGTAAATTACCACATTTTGCTCGACATCCTTCTCGTGAAATCCAAACAACACTGAGTCAAATTCCCTGCTCGTCTGAAACTTCTACTGTTGCCATATTTTTCCCTATCTGGTAGTGTATAAACACGCATGCTCAGCCCTGTGTGCCAGGTAGAAAAATTTCCAGTTGGGATTAATGATGCATTCTCAGCGTGTGGGAGTAAAAAAAACAACAACAAAAAACTCAGATTGAATTAAATGCAGACAGCTTAATATTGACATGACCATTTATACTCCATGGTTACGATAAAGCCATTTTAACCATCGTAGGTGGGAAAAACTCTCACATACTCAGCTCTACTTCATGCTCGGCTATGAATAACTACAGTGCTACCACCACCTGATAAAGTCAAGAGGACCACAACATCTACAAAAAGAGATTTTAAGGTCATTAAGTTGGAGGCCTTCTGCCACCTGAGTTGAAATTAGGTCCATAAAAACTTTGAACAGAATCATTAGTAAAGGATAGCCCTGGCAAAATCCAATGCCCACTGCAGATGAGTCTGACTTATTGCCAGAAATGCAGGCCAAGCTCTTAATGTACCGTAATTCCCGGACTACAGAGCGCACCTGATTAAAAGCTGCATGCTCTAATTTTAGAAAGAAAATCAATTTTGTACTTGTATAGGCCGCACCGGCTTTTAAGCCGTATGCGTTTCACTCGTAATATGAGATATTTACACAGAAATATTACACGTGAGGATTTTTAACGTTTAATTTAATCCGTAAGGTAACATAAACATGGTAACATAAACATTATGGTAACATACAAAAATACATACTGCAAATGCTTTTTTTCCTCGAACAGCGCCTGTAACACGGCTACCTTTAAGTATACGTACGTATCGGTAACACACAAATTACATTGCTTATGTTTTTATTACGGAACAGTGCACAAACAACATTACAACGTCTCTTAACCGGTAAAAATATATACCGTATATATACTACTTATTAATTTTATTGGTCTACTGTTACCAGGCAAAATGTTTTTGGCCGCATGAAAAAAAAAATGCATTAGCCGCACGTCAGTATAAGCCGCAGTGAGGGGAAAAAAGTAGCGGCTTATGACCCAAAAACTACGGTAGTTGCACGAGGACTAAATAACTCCTAACAAAAGGCTAGAAACCCCTCTTACCCTAGCAGCACGGTCCACAGAATAGCCTGAGGGGCACAGTCGAATGCCTTCTTCAAGTCTACAAAACACATGTAGACTGGATGGCTGAACTCCCACACACTTTTAAATATCCTTAAAAATAAAAATGTTCCTCTTGAATCTGAGGTTCCACTAACATACAAACTCTGCTTTTCGGTACTCTGGAATAGATCTTCTCAGGGAGGCTGAGGAGTTTGATTCCCTTGTAATTGGAGCACACCCTCCGAGTCCCTTCTTAAATGTGGAAACCACCATCCCAGTCTGCCAATTCAGAGGCACTGCCCCAGATCTTGACATGACGTTGCAGAGGCGTGTAAACCAAGTCAGCCATACAACATCTAGAGCCTTCAGGAAATCAGGAGCAATCTCATACCACCAAGGGGCGCTGCCACCAAAGAGTTATATTACCTCAGTGACCTGACCCCAGTGATGGGTGAGTGATCCTCAGACCCTACGTCCTCTACAGAAGAGGTGACAGTGGGATTAAGGAGGTACCTGAAGTTTACTTGGCTATATCCTCATTTAAAGTCAGTAGTGCCGCTCTGCACTATAGACCATGTGAGTAGAGCACCACTTTCCCCTCCTAAATCATTTGACGGTTTGACAGAATCACTCTGAGGCAGTCTGAAAGTCTTTTTCGTCACTGAACTCCTCACACCCAAGCTTTTGCTTTAGCCACCTCCTGAGCCATGTCTACTTGGCCTGCGTGGCCTGTGCCACTTTGGTGGCAGCAGATGGGTACGGACCCATCTGCTGCCACCAAAGTGGCACAGGCTAACCAAGTCTTCTATAGCTCGATAGCTCTCTTCACCTTTTGTTGTCCACCACTGGCTCTGGGATTACCACCACAACCGACATCAACCACTTTGCACCTGCAAATGGATGCTACATCCTTGAGACTAAAGAGGAGCGGGACAGTCTGGATTCTTATCTGCACTCAAAAGTCTGCATCTCTGAACACATGAGGGTGCATCATGGTGATTTCAAAAATCACAGATTTTACAAATTAGTGCATTCTGTTTTTATTTACATGTTACACAGCATCCCA